CGGTTGGACGGTGCTGATGTGTGTGTCGACCGCAGTCCCTCCGAGACACTCAGGATCAATCGCCCTCGTCCCCAGCGCGGCCGTCCGACGCCAGCGCCCGCTCGAGCCTCCGCTCAAATCGCATAAACCCACCTCCACATCGTATAAACCCACACACCACCGGTCCTGACACGAAGACTTGCGCCCTGTCTGCCTGCCCCCGAGGTCGACGGGGCTGCGGCGAGGACTGACATCTTTATGCTATGGTTATTGCTCTATGCTCCATCTCCTCCCAAGCTCGCACCACATCTCGCTCTCGACATCGCACATCGCCTCGCACACTGCCGCATTTTGCTTGAAAGTTCAACAAGTCTTCACACGAACACACGCGTGCTTTGACGAGTACACGACGCTGACGCCGTTCACGTTCGCGCTCGCGGATCCGGGTTCACGATCCGAGCGCACTCACGAATACAACATCGAACAAGACCCACGATCCGACGTCTCTAAATCCCTTTGGTCACGACCTGCTTGTTTCCCGTTTCCCTGCTGTGCTGGGGGATGGAGTTGCCCGTTTGTTTCTTGACACACACGCACACTGTTGTTGTTGTACAGTAGACACGGCTCGCTCTGTTTCTCTCCTATGCACACTCACGAATCGTATTGCCTATCTCACGAACGTAAAGTGTCAGACTGGTGTGTCACTTATTCGTAGAACGAATATATGATGCATTTTCTCTGAGTGCAACGCGTTCGAAACGCTTGAGAACTGAGGAGGAAGAGGGAGGAGGAGGAATAGAAGATACATACTGACGCTGAACCAGTAATGCAAAATGCCGGTTTTTACCTGCGTGTATGATCACTGCACACGAGAAAAGTTGCATAGTTTCGCCACATGTCGCTCCACAGTACCTGCATGGTCCTGCTCTCTGTATCTCAAGAAACATCGCAAGGTGCGCCTATCCTGCAGCGCGAGCGAAACCATTCGCTCGTTTGCAGGCCTACAGACAACATCCGGGCCTCCGCTTCGCCTAACGATATTTGGGGACGTACTCAAGATGTATGATATTGAGCCTAGCAGGCTAAAATCGGAGAACCCTTTATGTTGCGGATGTAGGACAGTGAATGCAAAACGCGTTTGCATTACCGGTTCAGCGCCAGTAGGTACATGGTGGCTATGAGTAGCCTTGATTCCGAACGAAGCTGGCTGCAGGGCCGTTGCGCTTCATGACGCCGACGTTCGCTAAGCAACACTCAGACCTTCGCAGTATAAAATAGCCAGGGTGCGGTGCGTACCTGCTCTGCGTTCCCAACCTTTCGCTCTGGCAGGCTCGGGCTTGCCCTTGAGGTTGAGGCTGCGACTGAGGAACTTGTTCACCCGCGGGGGCGGCATCATCGCGCGCGGTGTGGGCGTGGGCACCGCCGAGGATGTAGGCGCGAGCGTGCGGATCGTCCGCGAGCTATGTCATGCCATGTCAGTCTCGCCGTCGGTATGGAGAACGAGGACTAGTGCGGCGCACCCGACTACGACGTCCGTGCCCTTGCCCGACCGTTTGGTGCGCTTGCGCTGCTTCTTGCGTGGGCGCGACTCGGACGGCTCGTCCGCCGTGTCGAGCCGCCGTTTTGAAGAGGACGCGGAGGTGGAGAAGGCAGCTTTGAAGAGGTGGTCGGGGAGGTAGGTCGGTGTCGTAGGGGCTTTTTTCCGGGGTGCTGGGGCTTCTTCGAGATCTGGGTCCTCCTCGGAGTCGGAAGAGTCTGACTGTGAGGCGTTGGAGGAGTGTACGTCCCCGGTCGCGTCGCTGTTCTCATCTGAGGAGTCGTCTGAGGTGCCGTCTCGGTCGCCTCCTCTGTGCGTACGGTTTGAGGCGTCCTCGCTGCCCAGACCACCCCATGCCTCCTCCGCCTCGTCGTCCTCGTTAGACTCCTGCTCCGCCTCCTGCATCGCCCTCTCCATCCGCGCTTCCAGCCCGCTCTTTGGCCCGCCCTCCAGCTCATCCTCACTGTCACTCTCCTCGGATGCTCCCTTGCCTTTCCCCTTCCCACTCCCGGCGGTCGCGGCGGCCTTAGCCTGCGCCTGCTCCTTCCGCAGACGGTCCCGCTCCCGGTTCAGTTTCTTGAGCTTTTGTTTTTCTGCGGTTTGATACCGCTGTAGCGCGTGCTCCGCGTCCTTTGCGGCGACCTTGGAGGTGTTGAAGGAGAAGGTCTCGGGGGCGTCGTCTTCGCTCTCACTCCCGCTCGAGGAGGCTGCTTTTCGGTGGGCCATGATTTGTGTGAAGTTGAGCGAATCTAGAGAAAGAATGATTCAATACAGTGTCGCGGCGGTTTGCAGAGTCCCTGTACTACTGCTGTGGCTGAAATCGTTTGGGATCTTGAGATTTGTCCCAGCACGTGACTGAGCGGACGATCTCAGACTAATGCGGACAATGGACAACATTTCCTGGTTATACGAGTCACCGTGGGCCGGCGATTATGTTCTACGACAACAAAGCTGTACATCTATGACAAGGTATGACATTGTATAGATAACTTGAAGAGCCAACATCTCATGGGAATCTTTGGCGACTCTCAGGCTCTTGTCTCAGGCGCCAGGCTCGTGGCGGGCTTGGCACGCACTGGCATACAGTACGTCTGCTATATGCAACCGCTATGTGAGCCTCCCTTTGTCACGGTCTGTGTCTCAGTCCATCTGATTGTTCACTACCTCCAAGCTTCATTTTTCGTCCTCTTCCACAGATAGGGGCCGTTTAGACGAGACGAGCCCAGGCGTCTAGTGTCTAGTTCTTGGATTCCCATTTGCGGAACGTTCATGCTCTGAAGCTGTGCGGCCGACGCGCCCAGCTGTCCTCGCAACCCACGGACAGAGCAGTGCGGTTTACCTGTTTCGCGCACACATCCGACGTAGGATCACTCTGAGGCAGCGCCGAGCCACTCTCATCCCAAACAGCGCGTCTTCGGGGACAGCACTAGCATCCTCGCCGACTCGGACCAATCAGGCCAGCTGCTGTCGACATTGTGCGCGTCTGGCCCTCACTATATAACACTTCGGGCGGCGTTGAGTCTCAAACTTCACCCGGTGTCCTTAAGTCACTAGTAACTCGACCTCCGACCACGACCTCCCCGTTTGTTTGATCTAATCATTCATGATGTGGGATCCATACGGGTACGCGAACTACCAACAGAGCCCGCCCGCTAGTCCGTATTACCAGCCGGCGGTGTACTTCCCGGTACCCATGTAAGAAAAATGCATTGGTAAGTAGAGGAAATCGCGCTGAAATGTCTATGTTACAGGATGTATCCCGGGTGCGTACTAAAGAGCGTGTAGAACGCGTAACTCAACAGCACATACAGGTCACCTCCGGGATTCAGTTCCCCAGGACCGCCCACGCCCTGGGCGCAGAATGGCGCGCTTACTAGTCCGTACCAACCCGAGTCTCAGCATCCGTGAGTGAGCTCCCTCGCGTAGTATACGTGTCAACTGAATCCCGCGAAGCCACCAACGACCAGAGTACGTTCGATAGTGTACTGAAACTAACACGTTATTGAAAATCGGACTGGTGCAGGCAATCTAGGGCAATTGTATCAGCATCTTCCGCGCCTCCTCAGAGGCAGCGGCGCGGCCGCCGTGTTGTCATCACCACGTCGCATCACCACACGCACCACCTCATCCGGCGACACCACCGACACCCACATCAGACAGAGAGCCAACCGCACGCTCATCACTCGCACTCGCACTCGCACTCGCACTCGCATTCCCGCTCGAGGTCACGCAGTAAGGCAGCGCTCGCTATATCATGAGGTCCGTGCTGATACGCATCGTCACTGCCTCATCAGCGAGGCCAGAAGTTGCCTCTGTCCAGCAGGTCGACAGAGCAGTCGCCTCCCGGCACGCAGAATCGCGCTCGCGCGCGCTGCCCGTCTTCTCCAAATGCACGGGCCAGAAGAAGGCGCTCTGCGTAAGTCGCACTGCATTATACAAACCCGCGATACAGAGGTAAGCCATCGAGCTGACGCGCTCGGCGTGCGGACAGATCGGGATCAACTACACGGGGCAGCGTAACGAGCTGCACGGGTGCGTGAACGACGCCAAGAACGTGCGCAAGTTCCTGATGAGTGCGTTTAGTAACTCGACCCATCCGCACCCGTTCGCCGTATGACTGCACTGACGTCTCCGTCTCCTGTGCGCGACAGAGCAGTGGAACTTCAAGCCGGACCACATCTTTCTGCTGACCGACGACGCAGCGCACGGGCACCAGCAGCCGACGCGCGCGAACATCCTCGAGGCGATGCGCTGGCTGGTGCGGGACGCGTGTCCGCACGACTCGCTCGTGTTTCATTGTGAGGCTCCTTCCAGGCTGTCGTTGAACTGTGAGGATGTCATCTGAGACTCGCGGCAGACTCTGGCCACGGCGGCCAGACGAGGGATCTTGACGGGGACGAGGTGGACGGGCTGGACGAAGGTACGTAGCGAATCTGCGCGGAGCGTGGTGAAAGGTGATGATTGATGCCGACAGTTATATTCCCGGTGGACTACAAGCATGCGGGATTTATCGTTGACGACGTCAGCAAAGTTTCTTCCGAGTGAAGCTGCCGCATCTGTGCTGACTGTCTTCTCTTTTCCACAAAGGAAATGCACCGGATTATGGTTCGTATTCTCACGCATTAGTGCATCACGAAATCGTGCTGAGACGGCTTGCAGGTGAAGAACCTGCCAAACGGCTGTCGGTTAACGGTGTGTCTATAGAGGCAACTACACCGAGGGGACTCTCTCGACTAAACCATCCCCTTTTAGGCTATATTTGACGTGAGTACCGTGTCATCGATCGCGCACGCGCACGATCCTATTGATCACTCAACGCCGATCGCTCCCAGTCATGTCATTCGGGATCCGCGTTAGGTACGTGCCCCCCAGAATCCAAACAACCGATGCCGTCACTCAGCCCCGCCCTGCAGACCTTCCCTACCTGGTTAGCCCTCACCACCGTTTTCCTCACGATACCAACCAACCATCTCCACGTGTGATAGTACCACAGCGACGGCCGCGTCAAGGGCCTCAGCGAAGTGACCCCCAGCCACCTGCGCGAGAAGACCACGAAGGCCGACGTGGTGCGTGACGGGCATTGGTTCTCCAGCCGCGAACGGCCTCGATTACTAACTCACTGGTGGGCGTAGATCTCGTGGAGCGGCTGCGCGGACTCGCAGACAAGCGCGGATACGTTCGAGGGCGGGGCGGCGGTCGGCGCGATGAGCTACGTGCGTGCTGTTCTTTGGGTTGGCATACGACGCGGTGGTCGGGCGTGCCTGCAACGTTTGCTGACTAGGTGTATTTCAGGCGTTCATGAAGACACTGAGTGAGTCGTGTGATGAAAATTCGCTAGTTGTAGTAGTCTATTGACGACACCGGAAGCCGATCACAAGGACCAGACATATCAGCAGCTCTTGCAACATCTGCGGTATGTAGTTGCTTCTGGCCGTGAATATTGCATGCTGGCGCTGATACGTCCACCCTCCCTGCGACAGTCAAATATTGCACAAAAATTACAGCCAAAAGCCGCAGCTCTCGTCTTCTCATCGTATTGTGCGTGTCGCACGAGCGTCACGTCCTACCACATGCATGCTGACATCCTCTCCGGTCTAGAACACGAACCACAAGTTCATCATGTAGCCTTAGTCAACTGACCAATTATGCAGGTCAACGAGCGGATCGGCCGTGCGTGCATTACACATAGCCTTTGCGGTGCCTGGATGTCGCGTGTGAGGTAAGCCATCAGGGAGGTGAGCATTTGAAGTTCGGCACATTTCTCGACCGCATCCGAGGTCAGGGGGTCTGACAGCGGGAAATGGTAGCTGTTGCAAAGCATACACTGCGGACAAACCGCGTTGTGCGAAGCGCTCACATGGTACTTACATTGTAAGGTGGTGTATATTTTTACGGCTCTAAGTCGGAGCTCCTAACATAGGGAATGGGATCCCTTTGTTCGGCCTAACATTTTGAATGTTCCTAGAATCGGGAATGTAAGTGTTATGTTCTTCCTATGTTCCGAAATCGTGCCATGTTCTAGGAATGTACTTCCCATGTTAGGGAAGTTCACTTGATGGCTTACTAATATACACGCCCTTGCAATGTTAGGCCTATGTAAGCGCCTTGCACAATCCGGGTTGTCCGCAGTGATACTGGAGGTCCTGATCCATGAAGCAGTGCCACTCGAAGCCATTCGGCGAGTCTCGGCAAGCGCCGCCAGGGGAAGGGCTGGCCGCTGTATGGTAACATACATGAGGTAGCACAGTGCCAGTGAGAGCCGACGGTATTGTATTGGTCATAGGCCAGTCTCCTTGAAGAGCTCGAGGACTGCGGTGACAGACCTTGGGTTGAGCCCAAGCGTGCGGCGCAGAAAGGTCAGTTGCCACACAGCCGCGAGGGCGGTGTGCGCCCTCAGCTGGACATCGATCGTGGCTTCGCATCCGAAGAAGAGGCCTTGAGGCCTGAAGGCCTGAGGTGGGAGTGGATGTGGGCATGATATAGAGTCAAGGCCGCCCAGCGATGCAGATCCGCGACGTATGACTCCACAGACACGCATGCGTTCGCAGTCCTGCGCGCGATTGCAGCGCGGCGCTCGACATGCGCCGTGAAGATGTCTCGCGCGGTGGCAGACTCTTGCAAGCCACATTTTAGCATCTCATCTCTGCCGGCACATCGCTCGTCAACTACGTTTTACTGCATACATGGCACGCTTCTGATGTAAGTCAGACGGCACGATACATGAGCATCTGCCCAGGGTTGTAACGGCCTCGACAATCCTGATGCCGACATCATCATCCGGACGGACGACTGGGCCGATTTCCGCGTGTACAAGTCCGCCCTCAGAGAGATCTCCCCCGACTTCGCGGGCAAGTTGTCCTCTGCGAACCCCGCTGTGATCCATGTCACCGAAGACAGCGTCATATGGGATCATATCCTCCGCATGTGCTTCCCCGAGCGCGATCAGCTGCAATCGCGCCAGATCAGCTCTGGCTATTGCTCGAGGCCACCAAGAAGTACAACATGGAAGGTGTCCGCGAGACAGCGAGACGAGAGATGTTGACTTCCCCGGTGCTAGAGCGAGAGCCTCTTGTCATATTTTGTGCACAACTGAGGCACAGTCGACAAGCCGTGCCGCCGATAGGCTTCGCCGCCCGACGCTTTGTCGCGATCGCCGCCACACGACGAACATTTTGTTAGCCACACAAAGGATTATGATATTCCACGCATTAGTATACTTATGCTTTGTTCACCTCGCTTTGATCCTCACCACACTAGTGGCGTACACCAGTAGCTATGTATCTTCGGGTATATGTACAGCTCCTTACGAGCCATGCAACCCATCCTCGCTCTCACTCCTCTCGCGGTGCGAAGTCTACCTACAACAACAGGATATGAGCCCGCCTCGCTCTGAACCGCACGACGATGACAACTCACCTTGTTATCACTCAAATTGTGACGCGCTGACCGGCGCCGACAATTGGCAGACGTGGAGGGTCCGACTTTCTGACATCCTGATCGACGCGGACCTGTGGGACTACGCGAGTGGCGATCTCACGTGTCCGGAGCCGACAGAGAACGACGCAAAAACCGAGGAAAAGGCGACAAGAGAGAAGGAGATCAGTAGTTGGAAGGCGGAGGATCGAAAGGCACTTGCCGCGATACGACTCAGGGTCGCCGACAAGGTCTTGAATTACGTGAAGGCCGCCCAGACGAGTCATGATGCATGGCGGAAGCTCGAGACCATGTACGAAGCACGAGGTGTCCTCGCTATCGTCCAAGCTCGACGCAGGATGTTCCGCGCGGTGTGCGCGGAAGACCAGGATGTTGAAGAATTCATCCGCCAAATGACGAGTTACCGAGATGACCTACTACCACTTCAGCAAACGATCTCGGACGAGGAGTTCTGTATCTCGATCCTTGCCGCACTTCCGGAGTCCTGGAATACCTTTACTGCCATGCTCAATTATCGCACCGGCTTGAAGGACTCCGCGCAGCTCATCGCTCGGATTCTGGACGAAGATTGGCACGTAAAGAGCCGCGCCGAGCAGACGGCTTTGCACGGCAAGTTCCAGAAGTTGAAGGACAAGGAAAAGCGGACCCTACCCTCGTGCTGGACATGTGGAAAGCCTGGATACCAGTCAGACTGTCCAGATCATGAAGAAGCACGAAAGAGAAAACGTGAACTTGAAGAACAGGAACACATCTCGAAGAACGGCAAGAGCGGGGCCAAGGCGATGGTGGCAGACGCGACATCTGACGCGGAGTCAGAGGATTACGCGTTTGTGGCAACGGACATAGCATCGCACCAGCCGGAGATAGATCAGAATGGAGGTGGTCGCAGACGGTGTAGTGCGGGAGGTAGTGGTCGCACTGGTCCCGCCAGTGACTGAATCAGGTATTCAGTTGTTGCCTGAACTTGAGAACTCACACCAATTCCCTCACCGCCTTTTTCCTTACCGAATCTCTGCTTGTCAGTACTAGGCTACACAGTTCAACTGTTCCGAGTCGTTCCGTCCACAATTGCTGTAGAACCTTCGGAATAGCCAAAGTAATCACTGACGGTTGAATGGAGCGCTGCTAGACTCACCACTTCGAGAACCATCAGGGCACAAAAGATTTGGAAACATGTGGGATATTGTCTGCACTTCCAGTGGATGCCAGGATGATGGCGCAGCGGCACACATCCTCCTCCTCCTGCTGTACCATGAAGCGCTCGAACCTCGGGCTTGCCTTTTCTGCCCGAGCGCGCCGGGTCGCCAGGTCACAGCAGATCACTGGCAGCAGGTTCAGGGGACATTCTTGTATGAATATCGTCACAAAGACTCAGTAGTCTACATAGAACGCATGCGCCGATGCATGTCGTGTAATGCTACATCCAGAATCGCGATTTACATGCACGCCTAATATCCAAAACCCAAGTCAAACTTGAACCATATCGGCCGTTTCTCTAGTACTTAGTGGCCTACTGCCCCTCCCTCTCCCGATACACATGCGGCTCGACAACTGGATCCATGATGACGGCCTTCCACAGCAGGCGCCACGATATCGGGTTGCCCTAAACACGCATCTATCAGTCCACCAAACTCCACGCGAAAAGCAGACCCGACCGACCTGGTCGCGCGCCATAACGCAATACGTGCCCTCCGCGCCAGGCGCCTTGAAGTGCTCGAGCTCGACCCAGCCCTTGTACTGGAGGCGGCGGCGGTCGTAGCCCCCGATGCGCATACGGAGGATCTTGATCTCCTCGCCCGCCTCCTCGAACACGACCTCCTGCGCGGGCTTCCACTTGACGCCGAGCTCGGTGAGCGCCTCTTGAATGAGCGGGAGCATCATGTGGGGGAGCAGTTGCGCGTAGAACCGCGTGAGGTGCGGCGAGTAGCGCCGGCCGGACTTGGTTTGAGACTGGGAAAGGGAGCGCGGTGAGCGGCTGGGATGGATGCGGTAGGGGATACGTACGAAGAGCATGAGCGTCTGGGTGAATTGCGAGTTGTGGGACGCGGTGCCCATGATCTGGTCGCCGTCAGCGTCGACGTTCCTGTGGGCCCACGCTTAGCACATTGAGAGCACGGACGCGAGATGAGGGAGCGACCCACTTCGTGATGTCTGGGGTGGCGATCTCCAGGTCGCCCGTTTGCCGGAGCGACTCCGTGAGGTGTTCTGCGAGCACGGCCAGGCCCTTCTTCGCGAGCTGGCTTGGTCTGTTAATCGAAAGGACGATGCGTCAAGCAGCGCCGATCGCGGCGGTGGGATGGAGGGAACGAACCGTATCATCCACGGGTGGGCTGCCACCTCGTTGAGGGACATTCGTCGCGAGGGGTCAATGGCGAGCATGCCTGTGAGGAGACCTGGCGATGTGGAGTGAACATGGTGATGTGAGCCACTAGCGGCCGGGAAACGGCCCACGATGAGAAGACTTACTGAGAAGGTCTCTGCTGAACCGGTTCCAAGGCGCTTGATCGAAGCACTCACCCGTGAGGTAGCGCGCGTACTCATGACTGTGCTTGGTGGGTTCGTCCCAGGGTGTATCTGTGTACATCATCGCTTTCAGCGTCGCGGACATTGTGAACTAAGGAAAAGCACCGACTGCCGGAGAGCAGGGCATAGAGAATGACACCGCCGCCCCAGACGTCCACAGGCTCAGCTTCGTATGGCGCCTCCCTTAACAACTGCATAGATTTGAGTCGGTCACCATGCATGATGATGGCACAGGAACACAAAGGCGGACCTCTGGGGCCAGGTATGGCAGACTGCCGCAGCGCTCTGAGAGCATCCTCATCTTCCCGCTCTCTTTGACCTTGTACACAGCGCAGAGGCCGAAGTCGCTGATCTTGAGTGTACCGGCCGCGTCGAGTAACAGGTTCTCGGGCTTGAGATCGCGGTGACAAACGCCCTGGTCGTGGATGTATTGCTGCGCACATTCCCACATCGTGAACTGCGCTGTTCTGGAATGTGGCGCGCACTTACCAGTCCGGCTATGAGCTGCAAGAGGTAGACATGCGAGATATCTTCCCCGACTCCGATGTCAGGCGCTTCAATCCTGTCAGCAGACGAAGCGCAGGCTCGCAGCCACAGAAAGAAACGTACCGATCTTGTCGAAGAGGTCTCCTCCGGCAGCGAGCTCCAGCAGCATGTACAGCCCAGGGTAATACCGGAGCTTCGGCTCGTTCGGCTCAACAATGACGGCGGTCTTGAACTCCAGAATATTCTCGTGTTTCAGTGCCTGGTGGATGCGCATCTCTTTGTCGAACGTCTTGCGCTCCTGCGCGGTCGTCTCCAGCGTGAGGGTGACGACCTTGCACGCCGCGACTTCGCGAGTGTCAAAATTCACCGCGCGGTAGACTCTGTGTGTGGTATTGGTGCGTTTGTGCGCCAGGATCCTGGAGCTAAGACTGGCTTACGTTGAGAACCCTCCTCCGCCCAACTGCATTACCAGCGAGTAGCCTGTGGCCGCGGTGAGCACGTATGATCATTTGCTACGGCTGGATGCACTTACCGGATACCTTAGGAAACTGTAGTTTCATGATGAGCGGTGGAAGGACATGGGATGGGGGCGAGAGTTGGCTTGGACGGGCAGGCGTGGACAAAGGACAAAGGCAATCTCGATCCGCAGATTCCGCCCACGCG